CCTAACGGAAGCATATATAATGTGAACAAAATAGGTCCAAGCACTGAGCCCTGTGGCACTCCATGGCTAACTTTGGTTTGCATGGAAGATTCATCGTTGACACATACAAACTGAGAGCGTTCAGATAGATAGGACCTAAACCAGCCTAAAGCAGTTCCCTTTATGCCAACTAAGTGCTCTAGTCTTTGCAATAGGATGTCATGGTCGATAGTATCAAATGCAGCACTGAGATCGAGCAAGACAAGAATAGAGACAAGTCCTGTCTGAGGCTATTAGAAGGTCATTTGTGACTTTAACCAGAGTTGTCTCTGTGCTATGATGTGTTCTAAAGCCAGACTGAAAATCTTCAAATAAATCATTGTTTTTTTAAGTAATCACATAACTGTTTTGCGATTGCTTTCTCAATCATTTTTGAGAGGAACGGAAGATTAGAAATAGGTCTATAATTGGCTAAAACCTCTGGATCGAGGTTGTGCTTTTTAAGAAGAGGTTTTATCACTGCTACTTTGAATGATTGTGGAACATAGCCTGATAATAAAGACATATTCATAATATTTAATAAAGAAGTGTTAATTAATGGAAAAACGTACTTTAAAGCTCCCATGTCATGCTTTTCCGGTTATTACCCGTCCCCTTGTGTGTTATGAAGGTTTTTATGCATGTAAACGGTGTGCAGAGTCAAAACCCTCAAAGTACACCCTGTAGCGAGTAAAACTCTAACACAGAAAATACCTCCCCCCAAAACGCCTCGTTGGAGATACGTCACTGCCCATTTGAGTCTTCCATTTAGTTCTGGGTACGGCATGATGTCATGTGGTACCCGGAACGAAATGGACCAATCCCGAAGAGCTATGGCCACACCCTGCGGCGCTGGCCGCACCCTCTGCCAGCCTAACATTTACTGTTGGAAGCTCTGGTTCAGTTCACAATCGATCCAGTCATGCCAATGCCAAGGACCTGTTTCCTGAAATGTGAGGAGAAATCTGAGCTGTTTGTCCTACCGACGGAAGAACCACGACGAAGTCAGTGGTTGACATTTCTTTTTAACACTGTTCCTTCAGAGGTTCGAAGAACGTTACTGTGTGCGCGGCATTGCACTGACGAAAGCTTCCAAAACATTGCCCAGTTTGAGGCCGGATATGCACAGCATTTGAAACTGAAGGACGATGCTATTCCTAGTTTGTTTGGACCGTTTGGAGCAGGGGAAGATTTGGGTACACAACCTGTAAGTTTGCATTGTTATTTGTGTATTTATCAAACAAGACTGTTTAAATGTGTAAACTGTGTCAGACTGCTAAGCCATTGACACAGTGCTAACTGTGCTAACTAAGTTGCTAGCGTTTCCATATATCAACTCTAATATCAGCAGATGGCCTTGCATACATGTATCTCATAGCAGGAGAATGTCTGCATTCACACACGAAATACTCATAGACAGTATACTCCGGGTGATTTGCCGTACGCTCAGTCGCGAAAAGTAATTACATTATAGCTGGCGTAGCGTGTATGCTACCGAGCTAACCAACGGAGCTAGACATGGGTTTGCTCGAGAAAACATTTTTGTTATGCCAGCTACAATGAATGTAGCAGACTACCCGTATAAGATTGCAATTGTAAACACGTTCTTGCTAGCCTAATATGAACCACTAGCTTTTGTTCATAGTAGTTTTATTACACTACATTATAGTTGCCGTTCCTCCGAGCTAGCGTTCATATCGTGTTTGCTACCAAGGTAAACAAGAAAGCTAGGTTAGCATATTAGCTGGCAAGCTTACTGTGTTCATTAGATAGATGGATTAGATAGATCCACACTCCTACCACAACTACTACTAACAAATCTAAAACAACTAAGTTTCTCTAATATTTTGTGATTTGCATTTGATTTCGTCCAGCCAGATCCTGCCGGACAATACATGACGGGACTACCACACTGATGCATCGTCCTAAAATGCCCCGGCTGCGATAGGCAAGATGCCGACAATGGGGAGGAATTGATGATATACCGTGTATATATGTATATTTATGTTCATTTTGTACATTTCTAAAAATAAAGTTGAATGGAAATACTTAGTAGGCCTATCCTTTCTTCCCTGAATTATTTGCTCCTATAACATATCATTCATATATAGCAAACCATGATTTGATTTCTCATCAAACAGTAGTAGTTTATTACAGGTAAAAATAACTTACTCTTTGTTATGACCGGCTCGTAGGCCACAACGGAAAGACAAGGAGACATACACGAGTTTACAAAACCACGGCACATTTATTGTGGTAAATGCAGAGATAGGTGGTCGAGGGGGGGGGATCGCAGAGTTTGTCCTTCTGCAGCCGCCTTGGAGAGAGACAGGGGCCGCCGTGTGACTCCGGGCAGCTGGGCTTAATAGCACCTCGGCTCCGGCCAGGTGTCCGTGATCGCGCTGATTAGCCTCTTCAGCTCCACCCCATCGTAAGACCTGCAACACACCTGCACAAAGGCCCTGGGGCCGTCACACTCTTCTATAACAACAGTTGTAGGTACAGTTCGGTTAGTTAGCGTATAAAATATACGGCTGTACCGACGCCATTATAAGACTGATGTTCCGAGAGCGAGCCGAAAAAAGCACTGTTAGACATGGGCGGAGCCTCTCTGGTGGTTGACTAATCAGAACAGAGTGGCCGAGCTGACCAATCGGAGCACACTAGGCTCACAGGGAGGGGGGGGCAAGAGCTCCAACGAGTCGTTTAGTGGAGAGAGTGAATACTGCTGAATACACATACTTTACAGAGATGCTGTATGCGAAACCAATGTGAGTTTGGAATATTGCACAGTATAAATCTATTTTAGTATACCTCAACAATGTAATTATGATCAGTGGAAATGGCCATGACATGGGCCCTTTAACAGCTTAGTTAGAATCGGGTATAAGATACACGTTGATGGTTTAGAAGAAAGAATCATTGAATTCAATTGTTCAAGGTTTATGGTTGAAAAGCATTCTAATTTACTATCTAGTGTAATATTAGTGTGGGGGAAAACTTCTGTGTAGCAATGCAGTGGGAGTCACCGACTCAGGAAGGAGACACGGGATAGAGCTGGAGCTTTGATGTCAAACACTGATGGTTTATTACGAGTTTCGGCCGGAGAATTCACATCACAAGTCACGAGCCAGAGGGTCTGACTTCACGGTAGAGTTGCCACGTCAATTCTGAAGAACTCTACCCCAGACCCATGTATTTAGCTAGTTCAGAGAGAATAATCAACATTGTGCATAACAAGATAGAATCATAATACCTCTATCAGCTGACGCCAACAGGCAGGAACAGGGAGACAAAACACTGAGAGCACAGCAGCCAAGGTTACAGGTGCGTGTGCTCAGTCAGGACAGTATGAACTGATAAACTGGGTCAAAGTTATGGACCTTGGAAAATATTTCCCCAACAATTAGAACTTACATTTCTGGGAGCTGTTGATAACACTATACTGGTCAAAGCTAAGAGGTCATTAATTTTGTTTCTAAGAGTAACAATTTTATCATTAAAAAAGCACATAAAATCATTACTACTGAGTGCTATGGGAATAGAAGGCTCAATCGAGCTGTGGCTCTGTCAGCCTGGCTACAGTGCTGAAAAGAAATCTTGCATTATTCTTATTCTCATCTATTAATGAAGAGTAGTAAGCTGCTCTCGCTTTACGCAGTGCTTTCTTATATTCATTGAGAGTAATATGCCAAATTAAACGAGATTCTTCAAGTTTAGTGGAACGCCATATCCTTTCAAGTTGTCTCGACTTTTGCTTTATTTTGCGGGTTTCCGTATTATGCCATGGAGCTAGTCTATGTTGTTTTATTTTCTTATTTTTCAAAGGAGCAACATAGTCTAATTTTATTCGCAGTGCACCTGTAGCACTATCAACAACATGATCAATTTGGGGTGGTGTACATTTTGTATAAGTTTCCTCCCTTACATACAGACATGCTATCGAGTTAAGTATTGATCGAATCTCTTCCTTACATTTGGCTATAGCACTAACAGATAGGTTTCTGCTGCAGGAACTTTTGACTAATGGTTTGTAGTCTAGTAACAGTACTTCAAAAGTTACTAAAAGATTGTCGGATAAAGCAGGATTATGCGGTTCGTCTAATAGTTGCTCCATTTCAATACCATAAGTCAGAACAAGGTCGAGAGAGTGTGATTATAACAGTGGGTTGGTTTATTTACACTCTGACGGAAACCAATATAATCTAATGTAGAGTTAAATGCAACAGTAAGGCTATTTTTATTGTCGTCAACATGAGTATTAAAGTCACCTACGATAATTACTTTATCTGTTTTAAGTACCAAAGTTGATAAAAACTCAGAGAATTCTGATACAAATTCTGAATAAGGACCTGGTGCACGGTACACTGTAACAAATAAGGTTGGCTGCAAAGTTTTCCAGGTCGGATGCGTAAGACTAAAAACAAGGCTTTCAAAGGAGGTATATTTAATTTTGGTTTAGTATTGATAAGTACATTTGAGTCAAAGATGGCTGCACCTCCTCGGCCTGTGCCTCGAGGAATATGAGTATTGATATGGCTGGGTGGAGTGGCCTCATTTATGCTGACATATTCTTCATGTCTCAACCAAGTTTCAGTGAGACAGCACATATCAATATTATAATCTGATATTAAATCATTTACCAATATTGCTTTAGATGCTAGAGATCTTATGTTTAAGAGTCCACATTTAATCTTCCTGTTTTGTTGCACTGTAGTAGTTGTTACATTTACTTTTAAGTTATTATGTATGACACCTCTATTAGGTTTTACTTTACATTGTCCGTGGGCAGACACACACACCGTTAATATTGGGTATTTTATTGGGTTCATTCCTATGAATGACTGCCCAGGAGAGAGCGCAGAGAAGCGTGTAAGACTGCGACTCCGCCTCCTGGTCTCAACTCCAGTTTGTCATGGATTAAGTCCACAAAGCCCTGAAATGTATTCATAAGAACAATGCGCTGCTTTTACTTCTTTCAGATGGTCCAGAAAACGTGTCTTTGTCGATCGGTCCAGTCACCGCCCTGTCCAACGGGACCCTCATCGTCTATCGGGGTTCGACAGTCTCCTTTAACTGCTCCGGCTCCTCCTACCCCTCCCAGCAGCTGACCTGGGCCTTCAGAGGAGCGGGGTCCAGCAACCAGTCGCTGGCCTCCGCCCCCGGACCCTGGCTGGACTTCAGTATCCAAAACGTCCAGCCCAGCGCTCAGGGAGTCTACAGCTGCAAGGCCAACAACACTGTATCTCTTCAGGCAGCCAATAAGAGCACAGAGCTGCTGGTATACTGTAAGTACCTCGAGCAGAATACTCTTCTCTGACTACAGGTCTCGTGTTTACTGGGATGCTTTTAAGGGGAACTTCAAAATAGAAAGAATAAGCCTTAATTTTATTATGCCATTAATATATAGTAATAACTATTATTATACATATTCTATATCATATATAATTGTATTTCAAATGTTTTAGTACTGGCGCCCATATGAGACTTTAGCCTGGTTTACTGTACTTCTTCTGGAGAGATTGAAAGAGGTTAAATAAGGTGAGGCAAAAAAGCTGAGTCAGCATCAGATATGGACTGAGATCATGTGAAAGTCAAGAAAAAGTCTAGGCACTTTCAAATGTTGCCAGACTGACAGCATGATGGATCGAATTACCTGTTGTTATATGCAGGGTTAGAAGCTAAGACAATGAAACATTGAATTCACTTCCTGAACTCTCACACAGCAAACACAGCATTTCCTGTGATTTTGCTGACTTCCTAGAATTACTCGCCGATGCTTGACTTTTCTACAGGAGGGCAAGATGCCACTTTTTTTCACTTTGATGTATCAACCTGTCTGTAGAAGAATAACAACGACAACACATTTATGATTTGCTTGTAGCTGAGGCACATCCTTATGGTTACACATGATATAGATTGGGTAATACTTTATTTTGAAGGTACAATAGGTTCTTGTCATTTTCTAGAAAATGACTGATATACACATTTATAATAAACATTTCAGTCAGTGCTTAGCAATTCAGTGAAACATGCAAAAGTCTCTTTACAAATAACAAATTAGTACAACATCCTGCACATGGAGACTATAGTTTCCAATAATAAATGCTTAATAAATCAATATTTACTTGGATTTAAATAAATTATTATTGAACTCGAATTTAACTAACAATTGTCTCAGCATTATTACCAAATTACATAGTTATTTCCAGGGAAAGTATAGACAAAAGGAAGAAATGTCAAAATAAAGTAGAATTTATTTTGAAAAATAAATGGTCTACCTCTACTATAATGAAATATTCTTATTAAGGAAATACTTCAAATAGGAACAAGGGGAAATCACTGTAATAAACCACATATTAACTAAATATAAGTATATACGTTTTTCCCTTTTCCTCCCCCTATGAAAAAAACACAACAAATGACATGATAAAACATGGGAAAAATAAATGAAAATACCTGAGTGGGTTTTGCTACAAGTTTTTGAAACCCCATCTATATAAAAAGTGTAATATTGTGTAAAATAAACAGTGTAATGGATACACATATGTGACCCGCTCTATCGAAATCAGTCGGAAGTCGCAACGGCTCATTTCAAATTAAACGTGGATTTGCGTAAAAAAATAGTTTTTCGGGGTTCGGGTGTTTTGTTTGATTTTTATTTTATTTCCAAAATCATACGATAAATACATTTTTGAAGCTTGTAAAGGGAAGATGACAGCTCTCACTCGCCACTCTGCTCTTCCTCAGCGCCGCTTCCCCTCCCTCCCGCTGAAATTATGAATGTAAGGCGTATAGTAATCATAGATAACACGGCAGGGTCCGTTACAGTTTGTTTTCATCTGATTTCAATTAAACAAAGTCTTGGCTTTCAGAATATTAAACTTGTTTCGGCAAATTCAGATGATAAATACAACGTTGAAGCTTGTAACGGCATAATTACAAACGGAGAACGGAGTAATTTAACGTCACAGCAGGCATAACAGCCGGTGTTTCTCGTGAGTGTTTTCCCCGGGAAACAAACAATACACAGAAATGCAAAATTACACAAACACACACACACGTATACACACACACACACTCGCGAGCTTCCCCCAGACCAGTAATCCAAACGAAAATATCTTCCCTCCGTAGTATTTTGATAATTTGCTCAGATCGATGGATTCCAGAGAAGAGGAAACTTTAAAGGCCTTTTTCTCAAAATGATGACTCGGTGACAGTCATTATATAATGTGACATATTTTGCTTAATATTTGGAGTACAAAAACAATCGTGATATCATTAGAAAGCTAGGAATCTCCTCTTTACAACAGTGTATACAACTCAAAATGTGTCTTTAGGTCAATGCGACTGATTTCGATAGAGCAGGTCACATATAGAAAAGGCAGCCCTGATGTTGATCATTACGTTATCAAGCGTCCTTAGTATAAACCATCCTGTAGCTTTTGTCCATTTCCTGACTGATATGTTTGCCCTGCCCAGATGCCCCGGACCGACACCCTGAGTGTGTGTGGGACCCGGCACAGGACCCCTCCCACGTCCTCTTCAACTGCACCTGGTTCGGAGCGTACCCCGCCCCGACGCTGCTCTGGGGGGAGGACCAGGGGGACCAGGCGGCCGGCTGGAAAGGACACGTTTATAAGTCGGAGGTGACAGAGAGCCTGTCGGTGGTGCTGAACCGCTCCATGCTGGAGGACGGGCAGACGCTGCGGTGCGCGGCCCACCACCCGGCGCTCGCTGCGGGGAAACAGAAGTCGTGCTCCTTCAACCTCAGTAAGCATGTGCTGGTGAAATGAGCCTCTTTACAACCCTGCTAAATTTTTCATGTGCTTTCCACTTTAGAGCCACAGTGACACTGTTCAGTGGGATTGTAGACAGTGTATTCTTAGCATTGACCTTCATTTACTTTAAAGGGCCAGTTCTTCATCCACATTCCAACAAAAAGGTAATTAGCAAAAATAGCCATGCAGATAGTTAGGGTTTTAGTTCTTCAGGTTTATTGGGAGACATGTTTTTGCTTCCACATCAGCAACACTAAGGAGAACATAATTTCAAACATGTTAACAGCTTGAAATAAAGAGTTTACTGCATAATAACTATATGGAGAGATGTTTATAGACTACTCACAGTAACAAGGCCACTTTCTATGGTATTTACCCAGAGTTTATAACATTGTTGTTTATAGGTACATACTTAGGTTCATCTGCTAAAGCTTTGAAATACACCTCCACCCCGGTGCAATTGAGGTCAATAGATTTCAGCATTCATAGATTTGAAAAGGCCCGACCAGTGTGGATAATCTACAAAAATGTATGGAGGCAGAAAATCAGTTACACAATCATTTCAAAGCTGATCATTTAATACAAATCCTAATGTTGTAAACTACTGATATCATGCATGATTTCTAACAAAGCAAAAGCACCTGTAAAATTGTGTGGTGTGTAGGCAAATTAAAACAAAATGATCTGCACGGCTAGACATTACCACAAGAGGCAATTGGGAGAATATATTTTGTTAAAGTAAGAGGAAATGTACTCATACTTAAGTTACTGATCAAATGGGCCTCCTCCCAGCTCTTTCTTTAACAGAGTACACAGACTCTTCGACTCTTTAGCCCTGTGCACTGCTCGCTGTGTAAACTTTATTGTAACATCAAGATAAAGGTTTTAGAAAAACCTTCTCATAATTAGTTTATTTAGATTTTAAGCCCTGATGCGGTTACAACCACACCTCGATGGACACAGCCCTGCATGCAGGATATAGACAGTTATGGCGCGTTTCCATTACACGGCCTCGCTCGGTATGGCTGGGCCTCGTTAGGACTGGCTCACTTTATGGCGCATTTCCATTACAGTTTAGGAACTGGGGTAGTATCTATAGTAACGCAGTGTAGGCGGAGCCGTGACGTGATCTTCAGAGGACCCCAGAAAAACAACACAGCCGTTAGCTGTTAGCACTCAGAGCTCACAGCTCCTCATATCTGTTCAGAAACTAGACAAAAGTTAAACAAGTACAAACCACAGACTGCCTGTGTCATGGTGAATACAGTCGCTGGTTTATTTATGTCTGTATAGGCCGTTGTTGTGAGTGTGGACGGTCGGGGCATATACTGCGTTAGCTTAGCCAATCTCCATTTAGAAAACAAGCATTTTAAAAGGTTTTTCCCCTGCCGTCTGTCTGCAGACTTGACAAAGCATTAATTCATGGTTTTTACTAACCGGTATCAGTATGTTGTTACTTCGGCATCATTTTGAAACGTGTATTACAATTAAATCACGGTCAAATATGTCCATCTTGTTGTAGTTGTTGCCCCCTTGCCAGCGACGCTCTCTCTAGTTTAGCATACTCAGCCCGACTCAGCCTCGTTGTCTCTGGCCCTGGCCCCACGATTTTATGAGGCCAGAAAAACTGTGAATTAGGACCCGCCGGCCGGTACTAGGCCAAGTGGAAACGCAACCAAAGACGGGCCGCTGACGTCACAGCCCTCTTAAACCGGGCTGCGGGCTGTAGTGGAAACGTGCCATTAGTGAGTCACTGCAGTGTAAAGGTTATCATCACAGGACAGGATTGCACAAACAATGATATGACGCAAAAGCATGTCACAGTTTATTAGTTTGCATCAGCTTGTCTGCATTCTTTTATGTTTATTAAAGCTTTGAAGATGAGTGGTGTCCTTGTCGATTAAGATTAAGGGTTTGATTCCCACAGGGGTCAACTAGAAAACAAATTGAACTTATCATACTAAGGTCTCCTATCATGCAAAATGCACTTTTCTGATGTCTTTTATACATAAATATGTGTCCTTGGTGTGTAAGTGAACTCACAAAGTGTCAGAAAACAAAGCCCTCTCTCTTTTCCTCCGTACCCAAATCTCTAAAAACGGGGGTACAACGGAGCTGATCCAGAAACACCGTCGGCCCTATCGGAAACGTCGCTATCAGAAACAATGTGCAACGTGTTTTGGAAGTAATATGGTCTTTGTTTACATTAGCAAGCATCGCTAACACTCAGAGCTAACCTGTACTGGAGAGAGTATGTGTAAAAAAGCAGGAAATAAAAAAGGAACTCACCTTGTGGTAAACCCGCAAGAGAAAAAGCATTTGAGCTCCATACTGTTTCAGAAATAATCCTTGATGTGTTTTTGAACATGATATGGCGTTTAATCACAGCAGCATTTAGCTGAGTATCTGGCGGTAGATTTCTCCTGCATAAGCTCCACCCCCTCTTTTTTTTTCTTTTTTCAATTCTTTTTTTTAAAGCTACGGACCCACAATCAGCACTTCTCTAACAGGGCTGAAATAGAGGGATATGAGGCATGGCTAGAATGGGTGATCTGTTTGGTATTTTGAGCAAAACACATGTTTCTTTATATAGTTGTATATATCTGAGACCTATAATATATGCCTAAACATGTATAATAGGAGACCTTTAATGTTTGACCTTCTCTCTCAGAATATCCGTACCCCAAAGGCGAGCCGATGGCCACGGCTCTCGAGGGGTCCAGCATTACTCTAACCTGCACTGAGCACGTCTCCATCCCCCCTGCAAACACCACCTGGAGGAAGGGGCTCCAGCAGGAGGACATCGTCCCCGGATCCAAGTACGTCCTGACGGAGGAAGGCCCCGTCCTGAAGCTGACCATACACAACATCAGCAAGGACGACGAAGGCGTGTACTTCTGCCGCAGCGAGAACCCCCTCGCCGTGCGCGAGCTGGAGGTCTACCTCACTGTGAAGAGTGAGTTTGGAGACAACAGTTTGCTTTCCTTTGTAAATGGATTTAGAATATGTAAACATATCAAAGCTTTAACGTCAGAGGGTATGACAAGTTACACATGATACATACAGTTCTTACTACAACAGCACAGTCTCTGCAGGTGTCGACTCCACCTCTGGAATGCTGATTGACCTGCTGCTCCTCCCTCTTTCTGCTCCATAACCCTCACCTTTTACCTTGTCTTTTCCTCCACAGACTCCTCTGCATACACAGGAGGTGTCATCGGCTTCTTCATCGCTGCGCTGATCGTGGGAATAGCCGCCATCGTGGCTAAAACAATTTACTCCAGCCGACACCGCATTTGCCTTGGTAACTTTTGCTTATCTTTGCGACATAAGAAGTTACAAATGCATGCAACAAATACCCTACTTAACCCATGTCATAATCAGTCTTTGCACCCGTGTTAAAAAAATCTCACATACTGCATCTCGTATGTTTTGAATGAGAGCACACATCATGACAATCTGCTTGTACTAAGTTCACAATTTCTCTTCATGTTTTTGTTTCAGGAGATGGCTTTGGGTGAGTATATCACCTATCTAATATGCATGCTTATTTAAGTCAATTCATTAAATGAAAGGGATTAAAAACAGCAATTACATAATGGATTATGCACTGCTATTCAGTATTTGCCTTGTTAAGTAGTTTAGTAGGAGCTTATTTTTGTATTACTGTAAATAACTGCATAACCATACTGTAGAGGTCATGTCTTATGAATATATATTAATATAACAAATCTAATTAATACAACCATTGAAGCTAAAATGTATACATCGAGGAGTCGAGGAGGGGAAATTAGAGAAATAAGAAAGGCCCATAGTGTATGAAGATTTATATGAACATTTTGCGGAATATGCTTGCAGTACTGTGCTTGTATTTTTTTTTGCACTAGTTGAAAAGATTGATTGCACTATTATAGTGTCTGTATGCTCAGCCCAGCAGGTACACTGTGAAGTTATTTTGGCAAACAAACATCATGTTGTTTACATTCAGTGTTCTCAATTTCCTTCATCATAAAACATTTGTACAGCAGATTTCTGGAATTTGAAACCGTATTTGTTTACAACAATGTTTTGCCAGCTAGCACTATTTTTCATGGCGAATTTGCTGACTACTTTCAAACAGTGTTACTGTGCATCATGTGCATTGGTATAAAGTGCACGTCGACTAAACAAACAGGCTCCTACTTTCAAACTGTTGCTCCACAGTGCTAATATGTTTGCACAGTTGCAGATAAAGATTACACTAGTATAATTATACTATTTGTAGGATAATATTCTAATTGTAGCTGCTTCGGGTTGTTCAGTGTGATTCCAACAGATTTTCAATAACTTACAGCATTGCATGGTCCAAAACTCAAAATGTATTGAGAAAAAGATAGATTTCACGAATCACAATACGTTTTTTTTTCAACGGAATATTCTGCCTTAATCCATATTTGGTAGGCGTTCAAATACAGTTTGCACTAGCTTTCGCACTCTAGCAGCAATTCTACAAAGCTAAAAGGCTCAATTAATGAAGATAGTTAATTTAATAACAAATGCTTACTAATTTCATCATAGGAATCACTTTGTTGTAATCAAGGAATTGGTTTTCATAGGGTGATGTCATAAAATATGAAGACAGACATTCAAAGCTTTGTCAAAAACCTCAATTAAAGCTTTGAATGCTAAAGAAAATGACACTCTTAAAAGCTTTTCGTCAAATATAACGCTCTGCCAATCATAAAATCATAATATTCCCAATCTTTAGGCGCATGGAGGAGGACCAAGGAGACGTGCTGAGTCTGGTGGAGTCGGATGATGAGCAGATCTTTCAGGACGCTGTTCCCCGGCTGCCTCCGATAACCAACGGACTCAGAACAACGCTCGTCCAGATACATCGAATCCCGTCCAGTATGACCTCATCATGGCTCCTAACATTGATTTGATGGTTTGTTAATACATTGTACAAATCTTTAGTAAAGTACCAATGTCCCTTGTTTTGTTTTAGGTGATCATGATGACACAGAAACTGCTGACCGGAGCCCGCAGGACGATACTGTACGGATAGAAACGTCAGCGGATCTTGTAACATTTTAGGTATCGGGTGTTTTTTTTAGATACGTGTTTTATTTGAGGTAAATACCTTTTACTCCCAAGGACAATGTGAACGGAATCGGTGGAAGATACATGTATAATAAAAGAATCATCTATTTGAATTTGTTATTATTTTTAAAAAAGGGTTTTGAATTTTTGTATGCTTATTTCTATGATTGATTTGTTTGTAGGCTACAGCATTTTGAATGTTGCTCTGAGATTTGTGCAGTAAATGATGAGTTGAAACAACATGTGATGTGACAAAGCCTTTGCTCATTCATTACTCACTCCTTATACATTTCTGCGTTGTGCTGTGCGTAGCATTTACAGATTTACTGTGATGATACCAGTGTAGAATGCAACTCTAGACTGAATGTTTAAAAATGTAGTGGGGCCACTTCGCCAGGTGTCTTATGTTTGAAAGGATGCAGTGAAGGGAGGGTAAAAACTACTACAGGTCGGATGTCCCACCTTTAGAAATAACTTAGATTCAGCTGACATGACATCTTGTGCGATAGTGAAAGTGAAAAATCTCTTTATTTTTTGTGGTAGATTGTCATTATTGGTGTTTTAATCCAATAGTAATCTTACTTTGTAAATCATCCTTTAAATACCCACTTGAGTATTTCTTTAAGTAGAGGACAATGCCCTTTCATATCAAATGGAAATATCTTATAAATAAATATATAGACATGTGCCTTATTAATGCCTTAAGACATTGCACAACCATGACAAATTGAAATGCTAATTAAAAGGATAAAAAGCATTTTACAATAAATACAAAACATAACATAAATACAAGATAGGCTTAAGGGTTCAGGCAAGGGCAGAGGGGATAATTCTCTTTTTAATCTGGATTTAAAGGTAGGGGCCTGAGAAGAGAGCATTACAGTGATCTAACCTGGCGGAAATGAAAGGACATACACAGGATATGTTTTAAAAGATGTAGAATGTTGAAAGCTTTAACATGGCTGGGTCAATGATTCAACAACCAATACTTTTTTGTAGTGATTTGATATATAACATTTAGTTTGCTCTGTATGCTCTGGGAATTATATAACACATATTTCTCTGTAGTTCCTTGTAGGCTCTTGACAAGAGCGGACTATTATATTTTAATAGCAGTAGTGTAAAGTAACTAAGTGGAATTACTGCAAGAAGTACAGTTCTTAAGTACAATTTTGAGATACTTGTACTTTACTTGAGTATTTCATTTTTTTGCTACTTTGTACTTCTACTCCACTACAATCCAGAGGTAAATCGTGTACTTTTACTCCACTACATTTATGTAATACCTTTAGTTATTGCAGATTTGGATTAAGGATGTGAAATGTAAAAAACACTTAACAAGGACTTTAGATCAACGTGGAGTACATTCACAATCTACCCTACAAAGCAATTAAAACTAGCTGCACCTTTACCAGCTTTGATAACACTGCAATGCATTAATAATTATAATCAAAACATTTTGATTGCAGGACTTTGACCTGTAACAGAGTATTCCTACACTCTGGTACTTCTACTTTTACTTAAGTACAAGATCTGAGTAGGCCTACTTCTCCCACTTCTGTTTCACAGTGGCATCGTGTTTATCCAGTGTGGAAACCAGAGGAGTTGTTGTTAGTTATCTTAGCCTGTATATAGCTTAACATGCATTGCAATTTCATTAGGGGGCGTGCCATGGCTTTAAGGTTACGTAATAAAAGAAAAGCGTAACTGCGTTTGGCCAATAGCACAAAGTGACTCAGGCAACCGGAAATCAGCTGATCGTTTAGTTTCCCACTCGCACATTTTTCACATAACAAACAGTGTATCGCAGGAACAGACAAGTCGCAGCTCTGTCTCGGGACACAACGGCTGGAGACGAACACAGAGCAAGATTCCAGGAAGTTAAAAGCGAAGAATGTGATAAAGAAACTATGTGCTCCACGGGAACCAATGCGGAGCTACAACAAACATGTAAGTCGTCACATATTTATTAGGGATATTATTTGCGAGCTCCGTCATGTTGTCATCGCAACGCTCAGTTACCAAGCAGCGGTTAAACCTCCGGGGGAAAATGCAGCACCGAGCGGGGGTAGAGGGTTTGTTATGCGGGGGGAAGGTGCTGTCAGGGCCAGGGGCGGTGAAGGATGAGTGTGTCAGCCGCTGAATTTATGTCGCCCTTCCGTTCTCTTCCAGCTTCCGACCCGGCTCTGGTGCTGGAGCTGAAGACCAGGCGTCCTCCGTCCCTGGAGGGCCGAGCGGGCTGTGAGACCTGGAGCGTGGACTTCTCCCCTGACGGAGCCTGGTTCGCCTGGTCGATGGGACACGGCATCGTCTGGGTGGTCGCCTGGCCTCTCGACTCGGAGTAGGTTTACCTGCATTTAATCCACACGACGCGTTCAGGTGTCCCTCGTACAAACGGGCTTGTTTGGGATAGGGCATAAATACTGATGTCTGCTTGACTTGACAAATAAATTATAAACTAAAATAAATAATACAAATATGACGTAACATTAACGCATAGTGTAAATATTTTTTTATTTTGATTATATAGATATGTTTTCGTGTATTATTATTATTATTATTATTGAACTTGAATCTTATTTATCTCTTATTTATCTTGATGTGTTTGTTTTCCAAGTCTTTGTGATGAAATCTGGCAATAGGAAAGTTAAGGGTAGGGTAAAATGTCATTATGCAATAGGAATAAAACATGATGAAACTGAATGAAGAAACTACCTGAATTAAATGTAAAAAGCACCGAAATAAACTTCAAAATCTAAAGTAGATGGACAGTTTAAATATGTATTGGATTATTTTACAAGTGAATGGATATATGTACCCATTTAGTTTTATTTATTCATACATTTTCTTTTGAAGTGCCTTATTTATTTATGTATTTATTAATATTGAACATGTTGGGACTCCATATGCTCTGTGCTACCAATATGATACCTATATTAAGGTACTAATTACTTTTTTTCAAAACATACCAAATTCCTTCATGCATCAATGTTAAAAAAAGAAAGAAAAGAAAATGGAAGATCATAACATATTCAATCAAAGAAAAACTGAACTGCTAATTCTTATTATGACATTTCCAACAGCACTTAAAGGCAGCATATCCAATCTCCAGCTCTAGCATCCAATTTGCCTTTTTTTTAAATAGTATATCTGGATTCTTCTCACCCACAGAGACAGTCAGAATGCAGAGATCGATCGCGGAGACAAGAGCTTCAGTTGTGGCCATCCAGTGTGGGGCCTCGCCTTCGGACCCAGGCCTCCAAAATCATCAGCTGTGGCGCGCCAAGCTAAAACAGGGAAAACATCAAAAGGGAGCAAAAGCCTGCTTCTGGCCACGGGCTTAGAGAACGGGGTGATCAAAATCTGGAATGTGTTAACAGGTGAGATCTCTATTCCTGCTGGTGACGCTCTCACCTGCACTCTTTTTTTATATTTTTCAAATCTGTTGTGGCTGATTTTGAATGTTTTTGTTTCAGGTGATGCTGTGTTTGATCTCCATGGCCACGAAGGTGTTGTGAGGGACCTGGTCTTCCCTCAGAATGGGACGCTCACACTCATATCGTCCTCTCGGGACAAGACTTTGAGGATTTGGGACCTGGCTCAGAAAGGTGCACTTTTACTGGCTTTAAGTTTAATAACTAATGTAAAGTCTAGACTGACAAACGCTCCAAAAACCAAATCCATGAGGCAATCTATCCTTTTTAAGGCTAGAGAATCATCTTTTTATTTTAGCATTGTTTTCCAAGTTCCCTTATGATCAGGCTGTCTTACAAATAGTTGTTTTTGGTACAAATACATGAAATGTGAAACTTGACATTTAGCATAAGCAAATCAATTTTATAATTTGACAAATTAAGACAAGATCCACCTTGCCATTTGATTAAGTTGAAAACATGGCCATTTATTTGTTTGAAAACATCATACCTTTTAGGCTCAAGGCTTTCTTTCAGCTGTCTTTCTAATGTCGGAGCATCCTTGAACGCAACTATATTGAACTGTCCCTGGTTAAACATTAAGACAATAAATGATCTCTGTGAGGTGTTGCCAAACAGGTTTCAAGGTTGTGCAAATGTATTGGATATTGACTTAAACCAGTGGCTGCCTGGAAGGTTGAAAATAAGGCTATAAAGTTTTATGGTTTAAATGATAAATTATATATAAACAATGTTATTGTTGTTGTTCTTTAAATCATTAGTTTTCTGCTTGTTTCTCTTCATGTATCACTTCCTGTTTTTTTACTGAACTGAACCTCCTGTTCAATTCCAGGAGGTTAAAGCAAACATATGTTAATTTCTTCACATACGAGTCATGTTCTCCACAACTTCAGGAGCTGATAGTTTGAAAAGCTTTATTTCCTTTTTCTTCATTTAATCCCATTGATGATTTTGTTGTAAGTCTGTCTGTATTGTGTCTGTAGGTAAAACGGTGCAGGTGCTTTCTGGCCATAAAGACTGGATCAGCAGCTGCTGCGTGTCCTCAGACTGCAGCATGATCGCGTCTGTCGGCAGATTTGACAGAGTGAGTTAATGATTGTAAATTGTGTTTTCATATTCCAGGCAAGGACAGACACAGCGACACAGAAACAAAAGAATGTGCATGTCATTAGGACTATTTTTGCTATACATTTTCATTTCAGATTCAGAAGTCTTTCTCATCCATTTTACACATTTTACCATCATTACGCATAGGGGCAAACTGTCGTTGTCTCAGTTCAGTAAAATGGGACACTTTTCCCTGTTGCACAACACTCATAGGAATTGAACTATTGTTCAACCTTATCCTGTATCAAGTTCACTTTTTAAGGACATTCCAGTGGTTGTTAACTAAACTATTTCGCATAAAGGTTTCTTTGTTGATCTTTGACATATTGGAATATACAGGAAGAATTTGAGGATTTACAAGGTTTTTGGTCACAAGTCTGTTTTTGTTATCATTATTGCAGCATTTCCTTTTGATGGATAATGGTTTAATTCACTGGTTTTTGACAGGCAAGGTTAAACTGAAGGTCAAGATGGGTGTAACTAAATTGCATATAGCTTTTAACATTTATTTCAAATGGGGATAAATATGATTGGCTTATCTCTTTCTCCTCCTGTGTGTAGTTGTTGTAAGCCTGACAGAAAACAGTTTGTCCTTTGAGTTCTTCCCACTCCTGTCAAGCTGCGAACTTGACACCTTTACAATCGCAAAGAAAAAGCAGACAGCTTAACATTGTGTAGTGCCAGACTTTTAGATCACAATCACACAGTTTAGCTGCGTGTTCCAGCCTGTGCTGTTGGCATGGACTGACTCAGAGTGAGGATCAAATCACTAGATTGTTTTGGCAACCTCTCAAATATTTGCAAAAGGCCAAAAATAAATTCAAACAAAAATTAAACTTATTTACAATCAGCTTGTGGTGCTCAAAGCGCCAAAAGAAATGTATTGGAAAAATTCAACAGCGATGTCTCTTTCCAGAAATCATGATCTCAAGATAATCCAAAGACGTTGTTGTGAGCAGTTTCATGTAGGAACTATTTTCTCTCTACCAAACTACACCTGCCAACTGTATCACTCCGCAGAAAGAAGCAGACGTGGTTGTAGTTCCTAAATGACCTATTGTCCAAACACTAAATATTTCAAATGAAATACAAACCATGACTCTTTAACCCTTTGTGATTTAAATGTATCAGATGGTGTGTCTGTGGAGTCTGCGGTCATACACCTTCATCAGAAAGCTGACAGGAGGAAACTACAAGACCTTGTTCCTGCTGTCCTCCTGTGACTTCTCTCCTGACGGAGCGGTGCTCGCCACCGCAGCCTTCAGCGGCTCCAGCTGGTGGATCGACCTCTGGGACCCGTACACCGCAGAGAAACTGGCCACTCTGGTGTAAGTTTACACTCAGCCTACAGTCTTAAAATGAACTGAACATTTGGATCTGTAAATTAATTGCAGTCGATTCCCAAAACTCATATGGTGGCAAATGCATTCTGGACTGCACTGTTTTGCCAGACATGAAGACAGTAAATATCATAATGCAGGTAAACGGTTTTAAATACAGAAGTAGGAACCAAACACATCCTTGTGCACTTCCTGAAAGTATTTTCTCATGTCCTACAAACTGTTTTTGTATTTTGAAGTTGAAGCATATAGTACAGGGCATAATGATTCATGAAATCTCCTTGTTTCTTTTATCGACAGTGACTATTTTAATGATATCGGGCAAAACCAAATCTCCTCAATACAGTTCTCTCCCAACGGTTTGCACTTGGCGATGGTGACTGACGACAGGTGAGTAGTTTGTCAGCTTCATCTTATAAGTCTTTTATGATTTGTTATTTAAAGAATGATTTCAGACGGATGTGTTGTGTGTGCAGAGCTCTTCGGATCTGGGAGCCCGGACAGAGGGGCATGGTGATGCAGACGAAGTCCGACCGAGCCTCTAACGGACTCTGCTGCAAGTACCATCCACAGGGGGGAGTGATTGCAACAGGGTAAACACCCTTCATCACAATTTTAATATTATTTGATTATGAATCTCTCACTACTAAAAGTACAAAAGTGGATTTAGATATGGTGTACTTTGGTGGCTGAATTGATCAGAGACTTAAATTCACAGAGGTGGGATTGGATGTTAATGGTCACAATGAAAATGATAAATATCAAGTCAAGTTAACACACTTCCAATTTAACAAATGTAGGGATTTGTAATTTAGTTTGTGTCATGTTAAGTGAATCTTTTGAATAATTCCTTGGATATAAGCAAGATACACATTACTCTGACGACACATTTTTCCTCCCACAGCAATGGCTTAGGCTTTAAAAAAAACTCCAATGCCTTTACATCTCCACCACTTAGCTAAAGGCAGCCTCTTGTTTGGCATCATGACAGTAAATAGTGTCTTTGAGCGACAGTCACAATAGTCCTTTTATAATACATGTAAAACCTTCCAAAATGTAGGAGTAGGGTAGCTACTGATGTGTTCTGTCATAAAGCAAACGCATGTAAACATTTTAAGATATGTTTACCTCTTTACACGTGAGCAACACAAGTCCCTTTTGTAGCTTTCATGTTGTCTTACCTTGATGTTTATGATATGCAGACCGTTTTTAAAATACCCAGCCTACTGATCAACAACTCACTCAAACAGAGTCCAACATCCATAGTATCACAATTTCTCCGATCACCTTTAATAACAGAAGTTCATTCACACCCACAACCAAGATGGCACTTCAACACATTACTCCTGAAAGACCCAGATTTGAGTATTTATTTTTCAGCAGCAACCTAACTCACACCAACAATCTCCTCTTGTGACAGAACCAGAGACGGCCATGTGAGGTTCTGGAGGGGGCCCAGGACGGTGCCCAGCCTTTGCCACCTGTGCCGATCCATCCTGCGCCAGTCCGTCTCCACACACCAGATGGAGCCTCTCCCCCTCCCCAAGAGGATCCTCCAATACCTCACCTACAGAAACATCCCAGAGCGCCTCAAGACCTGCTGCTCGTCCGACGAAGAGGACTGGGAAGGTTGAATAGGAAAATTAACACGATGCAACAACTGACATTTACAGCGAGAGATTGTCATGCATAATGATTTAACAGAAATAGTTTTGTTTACGGATTTAGATGTTTTCACAGCTTGATTTAGCACATCTGTAATGTACTTAAGATTCACCATTCCTACATCAAGGAATTCATTTATTGCACTACTACTGTAAGAGGATGCATATAAACGTAATGTTCACATGCTATATAACTTGAATATCACCATTTTATACTATTAATTTATTGTGTAAATATCAAATGTATATGTATATCTAATTTATGTTTATAATACAGCAGCACTACTATTGTTCTTGCCCATATTAATTGTTAAAATAATATAAGAAACTGGACTTATAGGAAATAGTTTTATTAAACAGATTCAAACACATGTACATTTCCAAGAGTTGTTATTACAGTTCGGTTGTATGTGTAACTTTATGACATTTCTTTAATATCTTTAAACCCATTGCATATGTTTGACGTGTTACTGAGTTGCTCTTACACAAGAGACTAAATTAAGTTTTCGAAGTCCGTATTATAAGCGCCCAAAGGATTTTTGGTTTCTAAAGTTATGAAGACTGCCTTCCATTTTTTTGCTCAGCTTGTATGCAGATGTGAGTGACTAAGATGGCTGCGAGCGTTTTGTTTCTTCGCTGTACATCAACTCTACGGAGTGTTGGTGGGCAGTCATGCAGTGGACACTTCAGGGCATCTGTTTTCTTTCTAAATAAGCAAAAATGTGATTCCACCGATTTGACCATCATGAAAAATGTACCGATCCGTGATGGCAGTCAGAAAACAAACTGGTAAAAACGTTTGTCTCCACCAGTGGTTTGCTTTTAAGAGACAAAATGTTGTTGTGGGGTAAAGCGGAAACTGTATCTAAGAGGCCTCGCTGACCACGATGTCTCTCACGCCTTGGAAAGCTGCCACCATGGAGCTCAGCTGGATCTTCTCGTTGGTTCCTGAGGCGAGCCTGTGTCTGAGGAGATGACACATGGTAAGAACAAAAGCAACTTTTCCAGTAAACATCAGAAATGTTCATGATATTAAGAAACATATGCATTTGATTACTTGTATGTAAAGTCATGTTAATATAAGACAGAAAGCACAGGTGATCCCACTTACTCAATGTCAGCCAACTTGATGAGCAGACCAATCCGAATAGCTGGAGGAAAATCCACTAGAAGGGGGGGGGGGGGGAAGAAAAAATAATTCACATGCTTGTCTAGAACCACACTACAGAAAAACATAGCATATACTGACACTAACCATGCAAGCTCAGTGGGAAACAGCAACCAAAAGCACCTACGGTAACTGTTCTTACCTGGAATTATCTAGTATTACTTTAGTTAAACTAATATAGTTCCTAGTTTTAAACAAAACTTTTTTTTCCGGTCAGAAAAATTGCTAATAAATATTTAGACATGGTACCATGTGGTCTTACCTCTGTGTATGAGCAGATGAATCTCAGTGAGAATATCATGCAGGGCCAAACCCTTCAAAGTCTTCAGCTGAAGGATTTCTGAATGAGGTGTTAAAGAACTGCAAAAAACACAAACTGAACTCTTTTTTTACATTTTTGAAAAGTTAAGCCCATCCTCTGCAAACATTATATTAAACTGTGTAATACATGTACAGCATGAGTAATATGCGAGTGTTCTGAAGGCTAATTCTGCACATTTGAATATCTACGTTCTACTAACCTGACACTAGATATTGTCACTTGCAAGAAAATACAAGATGTTCGGGATGTTGAGCTTTTTCTAAAATTGTACAGAATAACACTAAACGTAAACATCCTTTGTCTATCAGGATAATCACTCGGGAAGCTCTACTGTAGATAATCAAAGTGAAGGATACGCTTGTACGCTGAGGTGAAGTCTTTGTTGAGCGACCAGTCGAGGATGTTGGCTATATCTGAGCGGAGGGGGTGACCTGTGCAGGTGTACACCGTGTCCTCTGTCACCTTCCCGTACGCCATGCTGGTGCTCTGAAATCACACAGGTGGAATACAGTAAGGGTTGTTTACACCTATATAATAACAGGTGTAATATGAATAGAAAAAACCCCTGAAACTTCAACGCAACAGCGACAACACCTCAATTGTGAAGATCATATTTGGTTGTACCTGCAGTATGTTCAGCGATCTTCTCATATCGCCTGATGATAAGGTCACAATGGCCTTCATTCCACCTGGATTAATGTCGATACTGCCAAAAAACATTAACAGTTTAAATTCAAAGTCAGATCATTGTAAAGTGTCACTAATTATTCAATTCAAATGTATGCAACTGATTATTTTGTGCAGTAGGATAATTTCCTTTCGATCCTGTGCTGTAAAATAGCATTCTTCCTTTGAAACTCTTAACAAGTAGAATAACAAGAAATAAAATGATATATTTATAAAATGTATATATTTTTATAACGAAGGATATAATTTAGACGGTGTCCGACAGTACCAAATATCAGAATAAATGTAAAAACGATTTGTTGAAAAATAACAGCGTCATCAAAATCTCTTCTTCCTCAGACAGTTATAACAGAAGATGACACATGAACGATTCCCACCTCTCCTGCTGGACCACGTACTCCAGCCGAGGGATCATCTGGTCTGGGGACAGCGGGCCGAAGCGAAACCTGGTGCATCGAGACTGCAGAGCCGGGATGATCTTGGACAGGTAGTTGCAGATCAGACAGAATCGAGTGTTTTCTGTGTACTTCTCAATCACTGAGAGAGGGACAGAGAGAGCAGGGATTAGAAACAAGATAGAAAAATGGGACTATGTAATGTAAGAGATACATTGTTGCATCTAAAACCTACTCATTTAAAGACTATCACATCTGACAGGTGTCCGTTTTGTCAAAGTCCTCTCATAGAACACATGTTTAAAACCTAGAGAGACTTATTGATAGAAACAGGATTTTTTGAAGTACTTGCAGATCACATGCAAGTCACTGCATCAAGAAACTACACACGTTTGTAAGCGTTTATATGTCAAATTATTAACACAAGCTAATGATCAGATGATTCCACAAAGTTTTCAATACTTAAAAACAAAAGCCTTCAATAGGAATGGCCTTCAAAATTGATTTCTGGGTGTACAAGCAGATTTTCTGTAATTCACAAGTAGCCAAATGGTCTGGCTGCTCAGTGAGCCATACAGCTCACAGTGGGCAACGCCCGGCTGAACAGATGGCTTACCTCGCCGCAATGCATTCTGGGCATCCTGGGTCATGGCATCGGCCTCATCCAGTATCACCAACTTGAAGCCCTTCCTGGAGGACAAGAGGAGCGGACAATAAGGCAGCAATTGAAATGATTCCGGGTGCAGATAAAAGGAAAGAGCTTTAAAAAAAGAGTAGAAGAATAGATTTTTGTATCTTACTTGAAGATGGTCCTGGTGCTCGCAAAACTAAGGACAGGACCGCGTACAACATCAATACCTCTGTCATCTGATGCGTTTAGCTGTAACACAAAATGAGTTAAATATCAAATAGAAGAACCTCAGAGTTATCTGAACTGCAGAAGATATCAGGTGAAAGAAGAAGTAAAAAGCACTCACATCCCAATAAACTAAAAGCTTGTAATAAAGAGTTGTAGTTTACCTCCAACACCATGGAGGTGAACTCTTTGTCCTTGTACAGCTGCTTGGCACAGGCCAGGATGGTGGAAGTCTTTCCTGTTCCAGGAGGGCCATAGAACAGGAGATGGGGAAGCTTTTCCTCACTGATAAACTTCTGGACTGAAAGGATAAAAAACATTGGAAAGAACAGGAACTAAATCAACAATCTGAATATCACATGGTTATTTTGAATGGTACCATTCATTTTAACCATGAAGTCAATGTATAAAGCTGTGGCTCATGTACAACTGATGATTGAACTATTGATGGCTTTTACAGTAGTATATAGTAGACAACAAAAATATGAGTTAGCAAACTGACAGACAGCAGGTAAATGCGTCTACACACATTTATAAGTTAACTTTAAAATGATGTGGTACCTTTTGTTATTCATATTTCAATACACCTGATATGTATATGTTTCGAGTTGTTATAATAAAAAAGCAAAATAACTGGAGAAGTTGTGTTAATAAGCAGGGTTCCTGACGAACCCTGTTGTGCAGCGGCTTTAGGAAGATGTATTATTCTACATACTTACTGGTGCTTAGAATATCTTTGTGTGAGATCAGATCATCGAGCTTCTGTGGTCTGTATTTTTCAACCCTTGAATATAAAGCGAAAAGACATCGTCCAAAACATCAATGATGTAAATAATAAACCAATACTTCCAATTTCTAAATGACTTATGTCTGCAAAACGTAGGAGTGGTTGGCATAAACACATTACAAGTTAATTTAACATAAATATCTCAAAATGACATTACGTTAAGCCCCCATAACATCGTTGTCTGTACTGATCCAAACTACAGAACGAACTTCATTAAGAGTTTCTCTATTTTAAAGCATCTGTCTCAAAGATTTGGATACATATGCAATAAGCTTTTACTTTATCGACACTTCAAATAGCTAAGTATCAAGTTTCAATTCGGCATCTTTATTTTTGCACAATATCAACTTTGTAATAGTTAATTAGGGGCTGCAACGTGTCCGGCGAGACAGTTGTATCAGCTGGCAAAAGGCAATGCTAAATGCATCTACTGGCTACTATGTATGCCGACTGTAAAACAAGTTCACATAGATTAAGATTAAATATTCGTTTTATAAGTATTATTCATATCTAACGTTGTTTGTAGATGAATGCAGAACTAACGTTGGTGCATCTACATGCACCAACGCTGCCTTCTTGATTCCATACTAATGTTATGTAGTTTAGCTAGCTAGCACTAACTATTCCAACCTATTTGTGATGAACAACGACTCTGAACTCACCATGGTAAGTTTCTGCTCTGTAACGGCAGTTTACTTGAGGAAGACATGTGTCCTGTTATTGTATACTTAGCTCCGAGCTAGCTAAATACATTTAGTTTCGGGCACCCTCGGTTTGATGTTGGTGGCCGTGTTTGGCGCGCTCCACAACAAAAACGTGCGTCAAACGTCACGACGTACAACCAATCCCATCAGTGTGCGAGCACATGTGGGCGGGGTTTTGGGGACACGACTTCCCTCTGTAAAAAAGAAGTGTGTAAAATGAGAAGTGTCACAATTACAGTTAAAAAAAGCGTTATACAATGCATGCAGATATGTGGGTGATACGGCTATTACATTTATGTAGGCAGATGACGAAGAAAAAACAAATGTTCTCGTGTTACTCTCATCAAAAATGTCCAGTGTCCTAATATAACATTCAGCAGGTCCTGTATTAAATTATCTAAATATGTTGCACAGCTTGGAGCCATTTGATGAACAAATTAAACATGTTTTGTACACATATTTTCTCAACTAGCTTGGTATTTTTCAGTTATGTGGAAAATGTGGCAATCGAATATTCCTATTTCTATACATATATCAAAAGGTGCAATGTTGCTGCGTTTCCTCTGAAGAGCATGAATAGCTTGCATTTAGGTTATTAGCCTATTTTATCCAATTACTTATAGCAGTAGTTTACAACCTTTTTGGCTTGTGTCTTGCTAACATGAGGCAGTGTTTTTATGCTTTATATTATATTATAACATATTAGTGATCTGAAATGTGATCAACCAAAGTTTACCTCCGATTGTTTCTTTTTAATATTTGTTGTGCCTGAACTGCTAAATGTATCCAAAAGAAAAAGAGCAACATTTACATTAAAGTCCAAAACAATTAACGGCATTATGTGCCATGCAAAAATATATTCTTTATTTCTTAGGACTTAATTTATCTTGTGGTCTTTTAGAGTTATCATGGGACACTGTAAGATGCCCTTAACCCCGGGTTGTGAGCACATATCTTATAATGAGATGGAAGATTTCAATAAAGCATGATAATTAATATAATGAATTCAGACTTTACATATTTGTATTGTTTCTCTTTTGTCTTTTAGATAAACTAACTACAGAAAATGCGCAGCCAGTTTTCTGTTTTTGTCCATAGGTCAATTATTGTCACCTCTTGGTGACCTCTTAATATACAGTTCCCAAAGTGCAAGCCTTTTTTAGGAGACACAGATATGTGTGGAATACCCCGCATAGACACAGTTTTTAACTGTAAAATGATGACATACAACATAATAGAAAGAAAGACGATTTAACTTTGTTTATCTGTTTTATTTGAGTTTTTCTCTTTTGTTTTGATTTATTTGATTATTGTAAAGGCCTATTTTCTTTGCTGAATATATGTGGGAATAATTTTATTTTACTTAGATAACCTACCAGCCGAATGACATCAAGCCATCATCAAGAGCAGTCTTCTTCACAAAGATATTGGTTAGAAATGTGAGTTTAAAAGGGGGCTAAGTGGCTTAAGGGCACACAACAATAACACCAAGAATGACAACACATTTCTAGTAAACAAGTATAACACTTAAAGTCAAGTTTATCCAAATATGAGGAGACTTCCAAAATGTTATAATGTTGTCAAATATTAAACAATTCAAATAAATTCATTAAAAACTCTAACTTAAAGTACAATCACTCTAGCCACGAGAACATAAACTGTTTCCCATAAAAATGCATATAAAAAACAGAGTGTATATGCTGCATATAGGCTATGTGTATGTGGGTGTCCTGTATGGTAGAGTGCACATCTAAATCTGTGTACGATTTATTATTATACAAAGACCCCGATCTTTCCTCTACACATGTGAAAAGTGTTCCTTATTCAGGCCTGTCTGTTAAAGCAGTGAGCCCACCGCACTTGGCGCTGATCTCGCGAGAGTGGCCCCTCACGGCGGAGCCTGGGTGATGCGATGCTGTTGCTGTGGGTTTGATTGACGGGAAACATGTCGGTGTGGTGGGAGCGAACCGGGATGCAGCTGCTGCCAAGGGAGACAGGGAGTACCTGCATCCAATCCACACATCAGCACCTTTAAAACCATCAGGCTTTCCCCTCAGATACGTCTGCTTATGATGCGCTCAACTGCTTCTATTTAAAAAAACAAAAACATCCATTTAAAACGAAGGGGCACCCAATGGATGCTGTGGCAAACCGTGTAGTCCCGCTCGGTATCTTCATATTGTGTTTGATTTAGCCTACAATCAGAGACACCTTGATGAAGCAGCAGGAACTACGAGGACTGTTGTTGCAATGGAGTCGACTCTCTCACGGCTCAAACCGCGTCTGTAAACCTACAACATCTCGTTTCATGGCGTTTTGCAGCAGGTTGCTCTGTTCCGTGGGCTTCTCCACGTTTCTTTTCTGAATTATTTTTTTGTTTTTGTTGTTTTTTTATTTTAATTTTTTAAGCGCAAAGGGGGGGGAAAAACCGACCACTGCTCGCAAAACTATGAACGAGGAGATGACAAAAAGCGAGGAGCAGCATCTTAGTTTGCAGAAAGCCTTGCAGCAGTGCGAGTTGGTGCAAAATATGATCGACATAAGTATTTCTAGTTTGGAGGGTTTACGGACCAAATGTGCCACATCCAACGACTTGACACAAAAAGAGATACGAACGCTGGAGGTAAGCACCATTTGAGCGGAATGACTGAAATACTGCTGTGCATCTTCATCAAAATCAATACGGAGGGCTGTCACCGTATGTTATTTATTTCTAGGCCACTATGCATATTTTCCAGTGCCTTATCCACCACAAACTGCTTTTCCACTATCGGGGTTGCCATTGCATTCATATGCAAATATTTCCACTGCTATCTGTTTTGTGCAGTGCAATAAATCAAGAGGCTACGGGGCTGCAGTGGGCTGTTATAGACTTGCGCATTCTGCAGGTGGCGGGGAGAGAAGGTAGCTCTTCTCCATCAGAATAATATCTGAAGCAGTCGAGGCCTATAGGCTGCCCGTGTTTACAATCCATTACCAATATGCCAGCCTGCGTATCTGTCCTCTTAGCGCATCCAGGCCCTGCTGCTGTTATGCAAGGCGAGCAGATTACTCAAAATTGTTACAAAATATCGTTATCCGTTTAATTGGCCCGTGGGGTATTCCGTAAATTGCGTTACGTAAGCGCCATCATATATCAGTATTGTGTTTGAGATGTCAGATTGTCCGTTTTTAGACCACTTAAACCAGTCGTCCCCCCCCCCCCCCCCCCCCCCTCACCACTAAGAGGCTGTTACGGGACATATGCAATGCCATAAAGTGCGATAAGGTCACTGAAAACTCACTATTAAGCATTGCGGACACAGCACACTATGGAGGGCCTGTAAGAATCTTATTATGATGCCTCGGGAGATTAAAACAAATACCATTAAGTGCGATAAGGTCGCCATAAACTCAGCACTGAGCAGGGCTATCTGTGTGTACCATCAGACCACTTTAAGTCCCAGAGGGAATATAATGAGATATTATATAACAATAAAGTCACTTGTGAGTGCCACACACTAACCCCAACCCCACAGGAACATGAGGCTATAATATGTTATACAATGGATAAACACATGTATTTAATACTGTGTCTGAGCTATTAAGTGAATTTTGCAAGTGTTGCACAGGCATTGGGATGGACATGTAATCCAAGAGTAGAGAAAACTAATGTTAAGTAGACATGTTCTGCCAGCATGAGCAGGCTACAGTGTGGAGATAAATGTTCACTATGTTCCCAGAATTCCTTGCAAAGCATACTAGATTGTTTGTTGTGCGCATGACATAAGTATTGTTTTCATGTTACAACATTTGGACAGGGTTGTAACTTTGAAGGCAATTATAAATCCTTAATTATCAGCATATGCCATATTTATAACAACTTTTCCACATGGCAAAGGAACTATAGGTTTGAATGGTTGAGACACAGAATAGTAGTAGGGCCATTTTGGGAAAGCAGGGAAAGGTGTTTTATTTTTTCTCAACCTTCCTTGTCATATTGTGAAAAGTTACATAAACATAAAAAAGGCAATGGTATTATTCAAGTGAACATTGATGGTGTAGGCCTACAGTAGACGTTCGACTAACTTATTATCTTGTTATCCTTTAAAAAGTAATGACAACATGACGACAAAACATTAGCTGTGCCATTTGGGATGTTAAAGGGACCTTGCAGAGTAATGCAGTAATGCAGTAATGTTTGTATCACTTGTTCTACCAGACTGACATGCCACAAGCATAATGGTTAATGTGAAACATTTCTGATGATTTCAGGGGACGGTAATGTCGAAGTCGAAGCCAATTGCAAGCTTGTATGGATAATACAGACTCCAAAACATTCATAAGTTATTAATTTGTTTATACCTGATCTATTGAACTGAATTAGGGAATGCATTGGGGGGTAGTCTTTGTTATACAACACACCAGTGGAACATCTGGCCTCTCATACTGTAGTTCTTCAAAGTGACTCTGCTCTGCAGCAACATATCTTGAACATATTAATTTCTCTCTTATCATGTCTCTTACATTTTATGAATTGTTGTCTATAAAGTTGTGTCACTCTGCTCTTTTAAGGAAACATTTCCTATAACTTACATAATTGGAAATGTTAAGGTTGGTGATGGACAAATTATATTATTGTGTTTCATAGCCATGTTTCCCAAAAATAACATTCCCTGAGCATTCTGCCAAGCTATGCATATTGCTGAAAGCTGCAGTATGACAAAAAATATATAACAGTCCAAAATAGGAGCCAAGATGAATGAATCCTGGGAAAAATGAAAATAATATTTAACCCCCCCCAGACATGTTTTTAATTAAGTATGTGACAAAAGGCTACCATGATTGATATTTAGTTTATTATGGTTTTCCAACAAAAAACTGTAAAGGGGCTAGAATGAAATCTCTCTCCCCCTGATATGTTCTGGATCTGGCCCCGCCCACACCTGCTCGAGCTAGCTGACAGGTGCGTACTGCGAAGCATGGATCCTGAGCGATGCGTTTCGGTGTCTGGTCTATTTTCTTTGTTAGAAAACACCTGAGAGAATTAGCCATACATGTTTGACTCAAGAGAAGTCTGTTGTGCACCACAATCTGGGACTAGCAGACCT